AAATCTTATTCTAGTATTTTAACCCCTTGGTTGTTGATTTTTGAAACATTGATTTCGTAGGGAATACCCAAATCTTGGTATACCTCATTTAGAGCGGTTTTCACGGCAATGGCCTTGGATTCTCCTTGGCATAATGCAAATACCGATGGCCCCGATCCCGATATGCCCGAACCCAATGCGCCTGCTTCTAGTGCGGCTTGTTTTAGGGCGTAAAATTCGGGAATTAAAACAGCCCGTTGGGGTTCAATCAAAACATCCACCAATGATCGAGAAATCAACCCAAAATTGGCCGTGTATAGCCCCGCAATAAAACCAGCCAAATTGCCACATTGCTGAATGGCATCGGTCAATAATACTTTGGATTTTAATACCCTACGGGCATCAAAGGTTCGTATGGGAATTTTGGGCGTAATTACGGTGGCCCATAATTCGTTGGGCACGGGAATTTTTAAATAATCCAATGGGCCATATCCACGAATCAATACAATGCCACCAATCAAAGCGGGTGCTACATTGTCGGCATGGTAAGAACCCGATGCCACATATTCGCCTATCATGGCATAATGCATTTGTTGGGCTTCAGAAAGCGGTGTATCCAATAATTGGTTGATGGCAAATACCACCCCAGATGCCGAGGCACTGCTAGAACCAATGCCACTTCCGGGATGAATGCCTTTATCAATGGTAATTTCAAACCCATAATCCAGCTTTAGATCGTCAATGATGGCCAAAGCGGCTTTCCCTGCTACATTTTGTTCTGGATCGGTGGGCAAATTGTAGGCATCCAAATGAATTATTTGCACCAGGGGGGCATCAATTTTTTTAACCACCATAACATCGCCAGGGGTTTCCAATGCCAGCCCCAACACATCGAATCCGCAAGATACGTTGGCGATGGTCCCGGGCGAAAAAACTTTGATTTGATCCATGGGTTAAATGCTTGCAGAACGAATGATATCGGCAAAAACGCCTGAGGCTGTAACATCGGCTCCAGCTCCTGCCC